GAGATTCGAACGCGATCACCCGATCTCGCCCCTCGGAGTCTGCTTGCAGCAGTGCACACCTGATGGCAAAGTCGAAGCGTCGCAGACGACATCCAAGGACGATCAGGGTCTCGCAACGCTAGTATTGGTGCATAAAGCAGGCTGTCTTTGACCCTGTCAAAAGCCTACCGAGCTTGATGTCCCAACACAATTCCTTATCCTTCTGGAGGAGATTGGAAAATGGCCGTGCCATTTCCGCATAGTTTGCGCTATACTTGTGAAGTAGTTGGCGAGGCTTTGCCACTTGCACAAGTATTTTTGGTTATTTGGAACCGACCAGTCCACATCGGCCTTCACCTTAGCGGGATCCGCTCGAAAGCCATGCTTCCCAATGAAGTACCCTAAAACGAAAATTTCTTCCGCGTTAAAGATGAAATTATTGGCATGAGCATACAGCTTATTGGTGTGCATGTACTCGAGCACCGCTCTCAAATGGATGATGTGGCTCTCAACATATATCCTCCCGTGCCCCGCACGACTGTGGGACAAAAATGTCGTCGATGTATGTTTGTGCATACGCCTGATGGGGCCGGAACGACTGCGTCCCAAGACGATTAAATATTTCTGATGCATTAGACAGCCCTTGAAGGTATCACCAGTCACTTCCTGAGCATCTATCTGTCAGCGGAATATCACTCGCTCTCATGAGCGGCTGGTAATAAGACGACGGGTCTTTGGAAACGACGTCTTGAAATTCCTTTACTAATGATAATATGGATCCGAAAGATTCTTTAGGATCAAAGATCTTATTCATGCGACTAGCACCCTCTTAGTGTCCTCCAGTACAACTTCATCCAGAAGCGACGATGAGTTAATCTCCTCGGTCGTATAATGACCACCTCAGCTAAACTGTCTGCCTTCAAGGCACCGCCACTTTCTTCGAAGGACATCTCGTCCAGCTCAAAGAGCATCTACCACGGGATTAGCTTCACGCGGGATAGCCTCGAGGGTGACGTCGCCGTCTTCCTCCCCCGTCATCCCGTTGACAAGGGTATGTATGTACGCTATCGTCTACGGTCAGGTTCAACCCTACGTCTTGCAGATAACATACGACATCGATATCTCCTCTCGAAAGGATTAACGTTTCATCGAGACCTGTGGAAACACGCATTCACGTTGTCCAGTGCCCTCACTCCCTGCTCTATCGGAGCCTTGATGTTATTAAAAACATCCGATGAAGAGCTACACTATCCACAGTCTTCGTCCAGTGAATAACATTTCACTTCACGCGCATCAGAAGGGCCTTGCCCAGGATGCCTCAGACCTCGCCCATGCCAACATGTAGCGACTGCTATAATACTTGAGCAGCGCTAGTGGGTTACACGCCACTCCACGTTCAGCCCGCGAGCCATGCTCGAGACTCCTATCCGATACACCACGGTATTTGACAACTCGGATACTCCGATGTTCAGCACGTTGACCGTTCCGATCCAGTGCCCGCGCCGATAGCGTTTTTGTTTTCTAATAGAGGTGGGTTCATGACTCACCAAAGCTCGACCAGGATACGTACGCGTAGCGCCCAATGTCTTCGACCTCCAAACGAACCATGACTCGTGGTGTTCCAACCATGTTATACCAAGGATGAGGTTACACCTTGAATCCAATCCCAAGGCGAAGCAGCGTTCCACGCTATTGAAGTCAAGAAACTTGACACTGTCCACAGGGACCCTCGGCAACGTGACACATCTCCCCGTCGCTACGTGAACAGCGACGCGCTTTCAGCGCCTCAGCATACATCTGGCTTCCTTTGATCGTGGAGCGTCAAGCTAAAATGCCCCATGCCCCGGAATTAGTCAGGATTTTCCATGACTTCTTAAAGCCCCTGACGGTCGTTTTATTCGACCAGCAAGCCCAAGCTCTTTGGGGCTGGACCCTGCTTACCTCTTCCTCTGTGAGGCTCAACTAAACTCAGATCTTCACCAGTAGGGCACCCCGTGCCTATCGGGTGTTCTCGCTTTCCCGTGTCAGACCAAATTAAGTAAAAACAGGACGTCGCTTACGTGCCTTGCGCAAGGAACAACTCAAAGGTGGAGGGTGTCTCCTTAAACAAAATACTGTCGGGTGTTTAAACGCCGCTCAGCAGTTCGGAACTTTCCCCCCTCCTTCTCAGCATAGCTGAGATCCATTGGCTCAGGCCCGCTCAACGAGCTCTGAGTGTGTGCATTTCAACCAAGTCGTGCCGCTTGAAGTTGAATCCGGCATTCAATACCACGTTCACCGCTTCTTCAAAGGAGACGAGCGCACACGGACTACTTCCATTCAGGCTACGCCAGCGCGGAGGCCCTTCATAAAGACGGTCACTGCGACCGCCTCGGGGAGAGGATCTGCTGCCGTCCCGGCAATACGAATTCTCAACTCTTGGATAAAGCTCATCAACTCCTTCTTGCCTTGTCGGGTAGCAAGGAAACGCGATTTCACGCGATATTCCTGAATTAGGCGGCGAGAACACTCGCAGCAGGGAAACGCACTTTTAAATGCCTGAATTAGGCGGTGAAAACAGCTCCATTTAGGAGGAGAACGCATCTTCAACCGAAACACCGCATGTCAGTGCCCATTCTCGCGCTCGGCCCCCGAGCTTAGAAATAGCTAGCACTACGCGCTGTTGCTCATTTCGAGGCATGGCGGATGCCATAGCCATCTCGATTACGCTCATCCAGAGCAAGGGATTTTCTCCATCCTTATTTTCGAAGGTCTCAAAGCTCATCACGAGCGACCTGGGTCGGAAGGAATCATCCGTAAGTACTCTAGCAGCGCATTTTCATAACTTGAAAAGCCTCTAGGCTGTGTTTACGACTTCGGGCGCTTGCGCAATGAGGTGCTCCTCGCCCTCATGGCCCAGCAGGGATATCAGCGCTTTAAGCTCAACCTGCATATCCTGGCATCCTCACAGAGGATCCGTCATGACGACTCAGGCATAAATTGACTACGAGTGCTACCAAGTGCAGCGGGGCTGACGTAGTTCTTTGCGTAAAGGAAGCTAAGCTAAGGCCACCGACCTGACGCTCTTAACCAGAACTAGTACGAGTCTAGCGGATCGCAATCCGCTCATCCAAGAGAACTTAAAAACCTTAACCCAGGCAAAGACGCTATTCCGTTTAAAAAATTAAAACTGTTTTAAATTGTTTTGTTTGCGGCAGAGCCGCCTATATCTAAAACATTAGCTCTTCCTGATTAAATAGTAAAACCTGATTAAATATGCATAATTACCGGCAGTTCTGCCACGTTGTGGCTTCTTGTTACGGTGAAACCACATCATTGTGATTTTACACCAACTTGTGTAATCTACATCTTCGTACGGTCACACCATCTTGTGTCATCCACTTTCATACAGGGGTACCTATAACTCCGTTACTCTCTGCGTACATGCAACCCCGTTAATCAAATGCTGAGACCGTAATATCTTTAACAAAAATATACATATAAGGTAACACGCACCGGTTGCTCAGCTTCTCACATTCTGCTTGCTTTTCAAAGCGCAGAACGCCAATTGAATCTCAGACCTGACGACGCCAGCGAATAATACTGTCAAAAATCTCGCCAAAATTTATCGACTAAATACTGAACTTCGAAGACATAGCTGTGTCTAAGAAATAGACTCGGCTGTTAACACAGCCGACACATCGTCTAAGGATTTCTTAGCTCCAACGTCGACAGAGACTAAGCTCTCTATTCCCTCGATTGACTCACTAGAAGGAATTTTGGGAGAATTGGACGTCGTATTGTCAACTCTCCGAAAATATTGATGTACGTTATTCCAGTCTAACTCAAGGTATTTCAATAATAACCCTAAAAAATTGACTCGACAAGCAACAGTTCACTTTTAGCTTTGGATTCAAATTTTTATCGTCTCCTCACGTAATTTAATAAATTAGGGCCGAAAGTTTCGGGTTACATGCTTGATTAAGTCTTATGCTGAGCCTTTGCGTGACGACCCAATTTGGGTCTGAACCCGGTCGTAATCCGCTCTTGAGACTTCAACATCATGACAGCATTTGTGAATTTTGAACCCCTGCCGGTGCCGTTTGCCTCGACTTTGCGATTGATTTTGAGGGTGTTAGACAGCAGGTATTGGGTATTGTTCCTTAACACTGGAGCTTTGGCACTCAGTTCAGCTGAGGAGCAGGAGCTCGACAAGGCGGTCTACTTTTGCCGAGGGTCTTTGTTCAATTTCACGAGCCTTGTATGTGCTATCTTCGGGTTGTCAACCAAGTGTCAAAAGACTCGCGGTACTTATCATCACTCTCAACTTTGCGTGACATGACACAGTTCATATATGATATGCCCGTAAAGTTATCGCTCTATCCAAAAGTTTTACACTGGAACTGGATTGCAATAGAATATGGACAGACTAGTATTTTCAATTTTGGCCCTGGAGACTGATAACTCGACGCGTCTGTGGAACACAAGTATCCTACAATGAAGAGCATACAAAGCTTCAAGGTGTAGTTGTAGGAACTCAATGCCGGCAGAGCTTACAGTTAGACCTTACACTAACTGCTTTTCCGCGTTTAAAAGCTTTGTATCGCCTTGCGTTGGAGAGATGTACCATTCCAGGCCGCGTTTTGCCATTAAAAACAATGATATGAGATGAATGTAGTACTTACAATTTACGTCGATCTAAAGATTAAAAACAATTGCACGGTATCGACGCGGTCATTACAATTTGGTCGGACCAAACGTTTAACACAACGCAGTAACGCTTACTCGCACGAGACTTTCACGCGCTATAGGTATAGGGGGCCTTTAGTTTACAGTGGACGCGTCTTGCATAATTTTTAAAATGATAGAAGTTTGTTGTCTTAACGACTGTAAAATGTAAACGTAGATCAACAATATTCATCAACTTGTGCAAACAAGCCACCAATATATTTCTTTATATAAAACGCTACTATGTCGATTAGTTCAATGATACCCGACACAGAAGACAATAAACATTGTCTTACCGTTCATACTCTTTGCTCATCAAAGTGAACAAACTAGTATACAAATCTGCTGCATTACTGTCCCAATACGTCCCTGCGAGGTGGTTGCTGTTGACACGATAAACATACCAGCGACCTTTTTCAAAGCGATCATACCCGTGAGTCTGTTGCTCATCGTCGGTATCGTGATTAAAGCCCTGGAGTGAGATGTGAGATTCGCAACGCATCAACGTCAAATTTCTCAGCGATGATGACGGCGACGTTGCCGGAAGCGAAGGCGCAGGTGGATTTAAATCATTGCTACTGAGGACTCGCTCCATCTCTTGAGGTTTCGGAAACCACGGTCTCAACATGGAGCGAATGTTGACAACACCATCGTTGTGTTCCCAATTGCGTGGTTCAAATCCGTCAAAAATCATCGGTAGACTCCTAGCACGACGCCGGATGAGCCAATTAAGACCGTACATGGTCGGCATCTTGGATACGTCCAGCTTCTTTAATCTAAGCCACAAGTAGCCCAAGACCAACAAACTAGCTGGTATCCGAAATTGGCGCCGTCTCGCAAACACAGGCCACCATTTTGGAAAGTGCTTCCAATTTAGTAGTGCTAACGTTACGAGCAAGAGCCCTTCGCCATAAAGACGGAAAACTGTCTTGGGTGACGTCGTTATACTTAGCAGATGCACCTTGTCCATATGCTGCAGCTGAGCATTGCGTGAGATGCGATGCTGTGGCAGTATACTGTGCATTGCCAGATCTCGTGACAAACTGACTGGTCCGTCAGCAGCCACCAACTCTTTAAGCGAGAATTTTCTCCAGTGATCCATACGAAGATCCGCAGCCGCCTTAAGCCATGAAAATTTCCAGTAGAGATGAATCCACGCACCCAACACAATGCTTAATAAGTGAAGAGAACTTCCAAACACAATTCTGCCGTTCTCAATTCCCATCATATGTGTTAGTGTTGAGCCTGTGAGAGGTCCTGCAATACATGTGATACTAGCCACCCACTTGTGTGAGCTTCCAACTTTAAAAAAGTCCGAACTTAGCATCTGGTACAACTCAATGGCAGTCGTGGACCCGTAACTGTGTCCAAGCAAATGCACAGGATTTTCCTCGCCCCATGAAGGATGCAACGGGTCGACAAAAGTCTCTCCATACCGATTGTGCCCTTGATAGCACATCAGTAGTTAGATTTGTATGATAAAAAGTGTCTATGATGTGACCTACCCGTTTCTGTGCTGTGTTTCTCGCCATAGTCAACTTGCCCTCCAACTAGTTGGTAAAAGACCTCACATGCTCGATCGTGGTCGGACGACACCCCCCCTACATTTACGATCAAGTGGTTGGGATTGATGCGTCGGAGTTCTCGCTCTGGCCAATACGGAACCCAATAGCCCCATAATGGCCGCTGTGACCCAAAGCCAAAGACACCTGATAGATGCGATTATTTCACCGATAACGATGAAGTAGAAGAAACGATGTACTTCCCTACCGTGAATGAAGACGACGGGATACTTGGTGCGTGCGCTCATAGTGACGACCCGTACGGCAAATTCTTAACTTCTGGACTAGACGTCGGCATCGCTTGACTATGAACGACAATTTTATATCTTGTAATCAGATTTTTACCAATCAGAGATATGATCTTGTGTAATGTCAGTATTTACTACTTAAGTACACTATGAACGCAGAGCTCGGCGAACCCGACGTCTTCGTTTTCCGTTTTTATAGTTGTCTCCGTCTGCAATGCGAAGGACAGCTCGACGACAGCGGTTGAGATAATACAACACAGATCCAATGAGCAGTCCCAATGACAAGAAGAAACAAATGAGACCAAGTGGGTTTGGAATCAGCTCGAATAGTGTCAAAAGCACATTGATCAGCGGTCCCGTAAACAGCACAAGCAATAAAAGTAGTGTACAGAGGAAGAATGAGGCAAACGCACGGTAGTATTTTGGCCCCATCAATGCCTTCACTACGTGGCACGGGTTCCACATGGCAGAGAGATGGAGACGGTCAGCTGGCTCCGGTAAGTAAGGAAAATTGTTGGGTTCTCCACGGCCAAGACCAGCAGCTCGTACATCTGCCAAATGTTTCGGTAAGATTTCCACTGATACAAGCAACTCACCAGCACGAATACGGTCTCTTGTTTGTGAATCATGAGTTGTCATCGTGAGCCATGTGGCATCTTCAGGATCTTCTCCCATACCCAGACGATGCATGAATGACTTGACAAGCGACTGGGCATTCTCCATTTCCAGGTCTTCAGCCTCTGATTCATTCTCTTCAAAGTCATTATCGCCAGGAAGCAACCGGGTCGTATCACTGGAATCTTCTTCATCTTCAGCAACAGAAATGACAGTTTCTTTTGAAAGCGACATTCGCACGCGAGCTGCATCTTCAGTTGCTGAATATTGCACGTCGCGTGAAATTCCTTTGTATGGTAAACTTTCAGTGCCACGAACTCGAATAGGTTTCGATTTGGCAAACACATTGACGGCTTGTTTCGTCTTATACGCTGTCTTAAGGAACGAAGACAAATCCATAACTGCATCTGCGAGACAGTCATCATAAATGACGTCGCGATCCCACATTTGAAAGTGAAGATGTCCACGATCAGCCTCCTTTTCTGGGTCTAGCGGCAACTCGATGTCAAACTTCATACGCCAATTAAAGGACGCGCGGCCAAAGTTTGCCCGCCAGTGCGTATCAGTGCTCTGACATCGATCATCGCGATTTTGAAGCCAGCACTTAACAAACAGATCGCTCAGACCGGTAAAGTCACCTGCCGTGACATTTTTTGCCTTATAAATGATCACGCGTACTTCAAACATTTGTGGCGGGGGTAATGAAATGTCCAGCGGTCTCATGATGTTCATTTCTGCTCCTGTGAGAATGTCCACCCACAACCTGAGACTTCCCTGTGATAGTGTACTTGATGGTGCAAACAGCGAACGTATTTCAAGGGGCTTTCGGACCTCAACACTTTCCGGTGATACTCCGAGCTTCTGCCACTTTGCGTCAAACAATCGGTCTTCTAAATCAATAAGTGTGGCGCCAACAAAGTCATCACCACCAATTGTACTTCCTATTGCTGTACTCAGTGCCTTACTAAGTCCAGTCGGGAGTGTCGGAATAGCATAAAAGTCGTAGTCCAGCACTTCAATTTTCAGCTCCGAAGCGCCTGGTAATTCTGCCTTAAATTCGAACATTTTGTGAAATTTAGGGGTCAGTGTTTCTGGTTTATGATTGTCGCGGTCGTTGAACATTTGTTCCAGATGTTGACCGTCTCCTAGGCTTACCCGGAGGTAAGGGTCACATTTGTTGTTAACGTCCGTCGGGTGTAAGTTAAATGCATCCAATACGTAAACGCGAACAAGGTAAGGTCGAGGATTAAGAAATTGGTTCAAGTCAAAAAGAGGCGGATCATGACGAGATTTGAGAACACGCACATACCCCTTAAACTTTCCAACCGGACGGTACGTGTTTGCAGAATGATGACCAGCGTCGACCTCTTCATATGACGGCATAGCACCACGAAAAAGAGGGAACGTCTCAAACGGAGATTTCAATACGTCTTCCAGCTCCCCATTGACAATATCGCGCTGATGCATGTAGTGCGGTAACTCGTCCTCATCGTCTTCCATCCCAAATCTGCTAGAAGAGCAGACGTTTGAAATTTTTACCGGTTTGATTTTGGTTGGAGTTGTCTCTGCTGTCGAAGTTGAAGTCAGGACATTTGAGGGTACGGTCCCCGGAAATGTTGATAGATCATACCCATAATCAACATAAGGATTGCTTCCATGAGTAGTAATTTTGGTGCATTCGTTGACGTACAGAGGATTTGGTTCTCCATTCGAATAAGGCATCTTTCTGCTTAAATCCACCGAACAAACGCCAATCACCGGCTTGTAGAGGCCACCAAGCAGTTGATCATAAACTGTTATCTTGAGCCTTGGGGCAAAGAGTGAATCAAGTGGCATCTTTACAGGAATAATGATGCGTTGCAAGAAATTTGGGTTATGACTGCTCGGGGTTGACGATGGATTTGTGAATTTGGTGACATCCCCCACCTCGAATTTGGCAAACGGAGTATTAATTGGCATGAATCCTGTTGATTGCAGGCCACGGCAACCCAGGCACATGATCTCAATATAACCTTCGTTAGCAGGAGGTATAATTGACTCAGGTGGCTCTACAATCACGTCGGGTGTCTCTTTACTAATAAGCTCGAATGACAACAGCAACTCGCCTTGAGTATCGCCACGCTTTTCGTAGCAAATAGGATACCATTTTGGGCGAGGCGCTGAGTACTCCCCGCTAGCTCGAATTTTAGCATACTTGGACGACGTCATACGTGGAAAGTCGGCTAGACTGAATCTTAGGCCACCTATGTAGTCATCGGTATCGTATCGATCCCAATCATAAACTTGCAGCGATACCTTTGGTAAAAAGAGTTCGTTTTGAGGTAGCTCAATATCCAAGACCACTGTTTCATAAAAGCACGGGTCTCGCGTTGACATCCGTGTGCTGACCTGGCCCTCTGACCCAACACAAGCCACTTTGACATAAGGGTCCAGAAGGCCATCAAAGTCAGTCGATGGCAAGGATTTTCCCTGAAATACATGCACAAAGAGCATGTATTTCATGTACTGCACAGTCGTGCTTGCGTACTGTCGCCATTTCTGAGCTACGTCTTCTTCTTTATAGCCTTTGGGTTCAGCGTTGTCAAGACACAGCTTCAACAGTACATTCCCCGTGAGGGTGTGGTCTCTGAGCTCATTCATCACTTTATCCTCGTTGAGTTCGACCCAATAAGGCGGATCAATGGCTTGAACCGACTCAATATCTTGATTGAAAATTTCTAGAGCTCTAAATCGAGCGAAACAGATACATCGCGACTCATTCATGGTCTTACGTAATAGATAGACGAATACGTCTGGAATTTGGTCGAGGTCCTCAGGAAGATCTAGATCAACAAGATCAATATACTGGTTGAAGTTGCAGATTCCAGACACATTTGGCACGCGCGAACTCTCCACACTTCGATGACCCACTGAAACCCTTAAAGACATTCGCGTATTACGGTTCCAATTGGTTTTGCTTGTAAATTGAGGAATTTCGGTTCCGTAGAACAATGCAGCACGCAGTGTGTATCTCCTCAGTTTTGGTGTGACCGACAAATTAAGCACATTTCTTACGTGGGCTTCATCATTAATTGACTGGAGTTCACTTTCAACACGCATGGACAATAAAAGACGCCCACGATACGTACTGGCGTAAGCGGGATGAGTTTGCATCCATTTAAGCGGACCGGAGTCAGTATCGTACCCAGGTGGGGGACCATACAAGTTTGCCCAAATTTGTTTGAAGTGATTAGGATAATGTTGCACTTGCTTAAATGAGAATGGCTGTACAATATTAGCAACAAGCTGATCGGCGGTAGTCATGTCCCAATCCCATACTGAAATGAAGATGTTATCGCTCATGGTTGGCATAAGAACTGGAAACCACAACTCTTGGTTAAATGGCAGTACCAGATTTTCGCTTCCTTTCATGGTCACTTTTTTGGTTTCAAGTACATCTTGGCCTGCAAAATACGCACGAACATATCCATCAATACCTCCGTGCATCATCATACTATAGTCCATGTCTGGCAGCTCTTCCGCTCGATAAATCGTGATGACGAGAAAATTGAGCTTCTGATTTACACGCGGCGGGACAAACACTATCGAGCTAATATCTGACTTAGACTTGACCAAGCACTCATTTGGGTCTCTGTCCTCAGCAGGATCGTATAGCTTCATCTTGTCACCAGGTCCTAACACGACAAGAGAAAGCCTTAAGAGTACACAGAAGTCAGATCAAAAAATGCAAAATCTGCTCGTAACGCACGAAGCAACATGCACCTACAAGACGTAGCCTTGGATTCTGTCGCTATTCATTGTGCCGTTGCCAATTAGAGCCACCCATTTCCGCTTCAACTCATGATCTGGTTGAAAGTATACATATGGAATGTCTATCGCAAAGAAACCGATGAGATCGTCAAATGAGCGGGAGATTGTTGATCGATTAGCTGACGAGCCAGGACCATCGGCGTCATATACGGAGATCTTGATGCTTCCTTGCTGGGCCATATCTTTGTCTAACAATTTATAGTCAAAACAAAAATATTCATCGAAAACGCAGGACGTTTGCTTTTGCTTCACTACAGAATGTTGACGTTGTCCGAGGCAATCCACACATATGACTGGATCGCACAGACCATTGGAATCCATAGGTTGCAAATCTCGAACTTCAATAATTCGCACTCTAATTTGATAGTCACCAGACAAAAACTGCACGTTTGATAATTCCGCCAAGATTTTTTCGCGCTCTTTATCTTGCTGTTTCCGTTTTTCTGCGATTTTTTCTCTCTTAACCTTAACGTCATCATCATTTTCATTTTCATTAAGTTCTTCGTTTGTATCATCATCATGGTTACCGATGTTTCCCCCGTCATCTTCAGACGCTTCGAAACTACCAGCGCAACACAAGTCGCGATCATTCGGCACCTGAGTAACATTATCAAATTCTCCTTGCTCCAGATTGCCAGTATTCTGATCAATATACTGCGTTTCAATAGCCAAACAAACTTTACCGTATCCGTAATTCAGTTTTCGTTGTGTTCCTAAGTCACTCGGTACATCTTTTTCTTTCGACTCCGACCGTTGCTCTAATGCAAGCCAGAATGTCTGCTTTTTTCCTTGAGAAAGCATTGTAAACTCCTCCAGATCAATCAGACATCGCCCCATGAAATCCACTGTAAGTAAATCACTGTCTTCCACGGTCAATTCTAGCATCTGCTTCTCACCAGGTACGATTTTAAAATAAAATCGCTGTCGCCAAGTAGGGTGCAATGTTTGTTGCTGTGTTTTTGTCCGTTGTGACTGATTGTGAGTACATGAAACGCGTACGTACGGATCGCTTGTAGCCTCAATGCCCGTGCCATCACAAGCGAGCAGTCCTGCCGCCTCTAAAATTGTCACCACATAAAAATTTGGAGCTTTTGGAGGCTCTGAAGTCTCGGAAAGCGTCGAAAGCGATTGAGATGGTGTGTATTCAGCTGTAAGCTCTTTTTCAATAGTCGCAGGTTCAGTGATATTATTCGTTGATGATACAAGAGCCATCAATTCCTTAGGTGACGCAGGATTTTCTGCCGTGGTTTCATTCTGGAGCGATGCAATAAAGTTTGGCTCATATGTCGCTGACACTTTTAGCTCACCACAATTCTACAAAGCATTGGTAAAAATTACTAAGCACATCTCGAGAAGAAAGATACTTTTTGTAATTTTACCTTTCCGGCAGCGTCAAGTAAGGTCAATTTGTGCATCGTCTGTAGCCATACACAACAAAATGTTACTTTATCATGTTTAACTATCTAGAGTCTCATACCTCTGTATCGGGTGTCAACGCCGCAATAGGTAACTTCGCCCCTCCAAGAAGAACGTCCCGTGCATGCTCATTCAGTCCGAATACCTTAAAATTGACAGCATCACCTATTGGCTGCTTTACCCCAAAGATAAATGTCTGCGCCCACTCTGGATTCATTGTTCTGGTCTGAGCAGCAGTGCGCAACACAACGTCACCGCATTGCGCCTGACAATCTGCGTAAAGATTTAGTTTCCACCACGGACACAGAGAGCTGAACAAAGTACGTACAAGGATTGAAGGCCTCTCCGCTACCTGCTTGCTCTTTGCCAACGTCTGTCGCTCCCAGCACTACAAGACAAACGCGTGGTGTCTCCATTAGTCTTCAACGTTTCCAAGATCGCTACTGCTGATTTACTTCAAGCCAATCAACAAATAGTGACATACCATCGAATAGAATTTTTTTAATAATTTTTTACCAGTCATAAAAATCTAGACAAAACATTTCTGTCAATGTTTTATTGTAATATGCTACTCACAAACCTGTTATGATTATAGCACAAGAATTTTGGGGTGCTTTGAAGGTATGTATGTACTCTATTACGATTTAGGTACACATTTCACTTTCATGCAATTGTGCAAAACCAAGATTACCAAAGTACTGGCACTGGTGGAAACAACGAGACGTCTAAGCGGAGAGGTCCGAGAACAATGTGCGCAATTAGCCTCACATCATGCAATACGTAATGATATATAATGGCACATAATACATGGCATGTTTTAAACAGAGTAAGTACTGCCCTGTTGTGTACACACAAAACTTTTACAGCTGTATGGAATTCTGTTCATTTGTAAATATGTATCAGAATCAAAGCATCGGTATATATGAAGATGATGGAAGTCTCAAAGAAGAGAGTTGTGGTACCTATGGGCTATTGGTCGAAAATCTAGTGGCTGAGACAGTTTTTTCTATGAGATTTTGCTAATCGTATTTATAAAGTGTTAGCATTCCCGAAAATATCGCTAACCTAAAGCAAAAGGTTATCTCAAAGGCTCTCAATTACATTCCTGACTAGAGCATTCGATCCAACCTATGTGCGTTTGTTATTTTGGTGTCGTTAATCCTTTGTACAAGTTTGCTGCACTTGGTAGCACTCGTAGTCAATCCCGCGACCTCGTCGTGAAAGAGATGCACCCTCTGTGAGAATGGAACGCGAGATGTCTATCCTCGGAACAACTAGACACGCTTGGAAAGCTGAGGTCTATCGTTGTACCGACGGGGTTCCTAATCGGTGGTTCAATGATCAGATACGGTAAAGGCTTGTTTGGAGGTGTAATATAGAGAAGAGCTAGTGGAACGCCACGAGGACTGCTCTAATCAAGTGTCGGTGGGGGGGGGAACAGCTGGTACCCACCCTGAGGTCCCTGATGTTAAGCAATCTGACCTTCGAGGACAAAGACAAAGATAACCTCTCCCAATCCCTGGACACAGTCGTCTATAGTCGCTTTTCTGGAATTAATCTCGGAGTTCCTCAGCTTACATCACTATATGAGATATAACTCTCATGCATAGCTTCGCTAATTACTGACCGAGCAGAGAAACATTCCGAAAACCGGAGTAAAGAACCAATACTTTCATCTCTCAACGAGACCGTGGCTTAATACTCTTTCTGCCTTCCAATGCGCAGCATTGTTCAATGTATTAGCTGAACGTACTGATTGGAAGCAAACCAATATTGTAAAGGGATTTCACGTATCCTAGTATGAAGGATGTGGGTCACACAAGATGGTGCGACCGTACAAAGGTGTGGATTACACAAGACGGTGTAATCACACAATGGTGTGGCCACACCTTAACAAGAAGTCAGTACGTGGCTGGACTGCCAGTAGTTATGCGTATTTTATTTAGCTAGGAAAACCTATGGATTGAGATGTAGGCTGCTCTGCCGCAAATAAAATCAAGAAATACAGTGTACATTCTGAACGAAAGAGTTAAATGCGTTGGGTTAAGGTTGTGGTAATTCTTGGAGCAAGCGGGTCGCGATCCGCTACAATCGTACTGCTTATGCAGCGAGGCTGCCGTAGCTCTTTGCTTAGAGGAAGCTAAGCTAAAGTCACCGACCTTACGTTCTATCCAAGAACCAGTACAAGTGTAGCGGATCGCAATCCGTTACCTACAATCATACCAAGGCAAACAAACACTTCGGATCAAAATTGAAACTGTATTTAGTTGCGGCAGAGCCGCCAATATCTAAAACCCTAAGTTTTTCTAACTAATATAGTCATATCTAATTAATATAGCAAAAGCTAATTTTGTAATATTCATTACTACTGGCAGTCCTGCCACGTGGTGGCTTCTTGTTACGGTGTAGACACAGCACAGTGAGATTACACTAACTTGTGTAATACACACCTATGTCCGGTCGTACAATCTTATGCGACCCGCCCTTTCATACAAACGTACGTGTAACCCCGTTACACTTTAAATCATGAGTAATACCAAATCACGTTCAACGGTCGCCTCATACGAGGCTCGTGTGTCTGCGACTTCTTAAAGTTATTTAAGAACAACTTTAAACAATCTCCGCTCTATGAGCCCTGTGTCTGCGACACACAAAACACCCAGTCTAGCTGATAGCGAGGGTGCCTGCAGGCAAAGCCCTTCTTCTGCACAGGGTGCATCTTCGGACAGTACGTCCGCGGCGTCACGGGAAGCACATCTCAAGCCCTCGGTAGCTGAGCACAACACATCGTGCCTGCCCCGGGCGACGGGAATCCTCCTCGAGGAGTTGGAAGAAGTCGACTACGAGTCAGACACTCCTTTCCCAGCATGGGATGACGAGGAGGATTAAGTGCGTCAACGGTGCGACGTGAGCTCAGCTCAAACTTTGCAGTCAACATGCCCGTTTTTTTTACCTCTCGGATTCCGGGGAAAGTGGTGTTATCACCAGTCGATTTAACGAGGCAAAGGAGCAGCAATTGGAAGCTGCTCACAGAGCGGCACATCTGCGCTCGTATCCTAGTTCGGTTTAGACCCTCGTGTGGAACACGGTTCCGCTCAGTGGGTTTCGCTACCGAAGCGAAAGACGCGAGCACTCGATCGCTAGGCGTCTACGTAGTCGGGCGCCCGTCCACTACACAAGCTGAGCTTGATCGGCGGAAAGCTCTGCGAGCTCGCTCTTTGGTACCATAAGAGATCCAAATGGATCGGTACCGCGCTCGACCTCGAGCTCAAAAAGGAAAAGTCAGCGTTGCGCCTTAAGTTTGAAAAGCTCAAATCTAAGATGGCGCTCAACGCGCACGTCCACTTCCTTATGGCTTCGCTGTAAGTGATACAGCGAAAAACGTTTTCGGTGCCGCTGCAACCATCGCACAAAGAGCTCATCATCATCGGCGGCTGATTCGCCAGGAGCGAGCACCACAGGGACTACGACCTCAAAAGGTCCAATAAACCGTGGACGGGACTTCGTCGTAAAGACAGCAGCAACTGCATGTGCAGGAAGATTATTAGCATCTAATAAAATCAGGTCTCCGATCTCAACGTTTTCAGCATTTCTTCATCCTTTTCCGTCTACATATTCCTTCTGCACGTCTTGGCTCTCAGTCATCGCATCGCGAACGTGTCGTAAGACACATAGTCTGGTAGACATGAAGTCTCCGATTTCTATACGCATGGTGAGGGGGCTTACATCAGCTAGCCGTTCTGCTATTCCTCCAGTACCATGCCCTGAGCCATGGGATGGCGGCGTCGACAGGACGTGAGCGGCGTATAGCCGGTAGATTAATGCACTGCATTCTTCAGAGCAAGCTATACGATTGGCAACATAGCGCTTCGGCGTCTAAGCGCAGACGCTGCGGAAAACGTCTTCAACGAAGCGATTCACGCGCTCAGTCTGACCATCTGTCTGCGGTTGGTCCGCTGTTGACACAGTTAACTTGGTGCCCAGCATCCCGAAAATTGTAGACCAAAACTTCTCAGTGAAGTGCGGGTCTCTATCAAAGTCAAGTGATTCCGGGAGTCCATGTTGTCGAAAGACACGATCAACAAATAGCGTCGCTGTACCCACACCGTCGATGGTGTCCGGCACTGCCGCAAGATGATCCATCTTGCTTAAACGGTCCACAAAGACCACTACACACGTGTTGCTCGCCGAGTCCTTCGGCAGGCCAAACACAAAGTCCATACTCATGTACTGCCAACACCCGGAGGGTACTGATAAACTGGCTAGCGGCACCGCCGCATTCGGAAAGGTTTTCACCCTCTGACATGTCTCATTCGTGCGCAAATATGTGCTCGTCCACTTGTACAGCTTAGGCCACCAATAATGGCAACTCACCTTGCTTTACGTCTTCTCACGACCGAGACGACCACTGAGTGAGGTATTATGGGCCTCATAGAGGATACGGTATTTTAAATACTCAGCACGAGGAACCACAAATTGTGGTGTATCCATCAAATCGGTGATTTAATACAGCAATTCGTTACTCAACGAATTTTTGTGCAACCGTGCGCGCAGTCGCGACGACAACTTCTCATCCGAGTCTTTAGCACCCTTGCTTCGAGAGCCTGTAGCAGCGCTACACACATACTTTCAACCGCGTAAGCGGCGCGGATCAGATCCGCCACTGACGACGTCACCGTCGTGACATATGCAAGCTCATAGTCCGGTCTGCGTGACAACGCATCAGCCAAAACATTTTGCTTTCCTGGCTTATACTCCACCTTGGAGTTATAATCTGAAAAGAATGAGAGCCACCTGGTCATCCTCTGCGAGAGGTGAGGCGATTGAGTAACAGTGCGTAATTACGCATGATCTGTGTAGATCACAAACGGCTTTGAGCCAAGTAGGTAAACCTGAACTTGACAACTGCATACTTCATCGCAAGTAATTCCTTGTCGTAGACTGGGTAAATCCTCTCCGCAGCCTTAAGCTGGCGAGATTCGAATGCAATCACCCGATCACGCCCCTCGGCGTCTGCTGCAGCAAAAGCACAGCCGATGGCAAAGTCCGAAGCGTCACAGACGGCACTAAAAGGACGATTGGGTTATGGCAACGCCAGTATTGGTGCGTGAAGGAGGCTGTCATTGACCCTGTCAAAATCCTTTCGATGCTCGGTGTCCCAACACCATTCCATATCTTCTTAAAGCGATTCGACAACGGCCGTCCCACTTCCGCATAATTTGCGCTATACTTGTGCACGTAGTTGGCGAGGCTTGGCCGTTGCGCAAGTTTTCTTGGTTTATTGGAACCGGCCAGTCCACAATGGCCTTCACCCTTGCATTATCCGCTCGAGAGCCACGCTCCCCAATAGAGCGCCATAAAACGAAAATTCTTCCGTGCCGTGCGCATGCACTCGAGCACCGCTCTTAAACAGACGATGTGGCTTACCTCATCTGTCCTCCCATGCCCCGCACGACTGTGGACGAAGATGTCTACGTTTGCGCATACTCCCGATAGGGCCTACAGAATTGCGATTAAATGTTGCTGGTGCATTTGACAACCCTGGGAGCATCACCAGCCACTCCCAGAGCATCTCGCCCACCGCTGTCAGCGGAATGTCACTCGCTCTCATGCGCAATTGGTAATAATCATCGATCAAGTCGAGTGCACTGTACTTTGTACATCCGACCATGTTGTTCTGGAGAACATTCTTCCTAGGATTCGGCGTCTGTGCCGGAATGGTGGTAGCGTTCAGCTTATATAAGCGTGAACGATATGTCACTTGCCGTTCGGATATCGGACACAAAAAGTGGGTGAAGAATGGGGAGACCTGCACTCGCGCACCAATCCTGCCTCGTGCTTCGCACAGAAAAAGGCGTCAGGGACGTCACACTGCTCTTTGGGAAGGGATCATCAACATGTTACGCAGTGTTTGGTTCCCAGAACTAGGTCAACCTCATGACACACACCTCGGTCCGGATGTTAGATCCACTTTGGAGGCGACGTCTTGAAGTTCCTTTGCCAAAGAATAGTACGAATTTGAAGGATCCTCAGGATCGACAATTCACTTCGTGCGTTCAGCACCCTCTTCGTGTTTTCCAAGACAGCTTCATCCAGAAGCAACGAGGATTTAATCTCCTCGTTCGGTATTATAATGATAATGACCGCCTCGGCTAAATTGCCTGCCTCATGGCGCTGCCGAACTTTTCGAAGGACATATCGTCCAGCTCAAAAGGATCATCCACCGCAGGAATAGCCTCGAGGGTGTCGTCGCCGTCTTCCTCTCCCGTAATACCGTTGACTAGGGTATATAGCTGTGGATATTCGTCTACAGAAGATACACCCTGGATGAAGGTCGACACCCTCCGTCTTGCAGATAATATAAGGCTTTGACGTCACCTCTCTATAGACGTTTAACGTCTCATCGAAACTAGTGGGAACGCGCACACGGCTTTGTCCAGTGTTCCCACTCCCTGCTTCATCGAAGCCTTGATGTTATTATCATCATCTAACGAAGCGCTGCTATTTCCGCCGTCTTCGTCGATAAACGTGCCACTCCACGTGCATCAGAAGGGCCTCGCTAAAGATGCCTCGGACCTCGTCCAACCATGCCACTCTTGGCATCCAGCAACTGCTTCGAAACGTGAGCAGCGCTCAGTGGGTTACAAGCCACTCCGCATGCATAACTGGGGCCTCGCCCTTGATGCCTCAGAACTGGTCCGACCACGCCACTCTTGGCATGCAGCAACTGCTTCGATACTTGTGTAGTGCTCAGTGGGTTACGTGCCACTCCACGTTCAGCCCGCGAGCCATCCTCGAGACTCTTGTACAATGCACCTTCGGTGTTCACTAATTCGGATACTCCGATTTCCAGCAGGTTGACCGTCTTGGTCCAGTGCCCGCGCCAATAGCATTTTTGCCTCCTAGCAGAGGTGGGGTCATGACTCACCAAAGATCCATCAGAAGACGTGCGCGCAGCGCCCAAGGTCTTTGACCTCAAATCGATCCATGGCTCATGGTGCTCCAACCATGCCATACAAAGGATGAGGTCATACATTAAATCCAGGTCGAAGACGAGGTCCACAGAGACCCTCGGCAACGTGACACATGTCCCCTTCGCTACGCGAACAGTGACGACGCCAACCGCTTTCAGCGCCTCAGCATGCAGCTGGCTTCCTTCGATCGTGGAGCGCCAAGCTTAAATGCCCGATGCCCCGGAATCGATCAGGATTTTCCATGGCTTCATAAAGCCCCTCACGGTCGCTTTCACGATCAGCAAGCCAGGCTTGCATACACGCTCTGTGTTCAAGAGCACGGAGCTTTTTGGGGCTGAGCCTGCTGCCCTCTACCTCATTGAGGCTTGACAAAACTTAGTTTTTCCCCTGCAGGGCACCCCGCGCCAACTGTGTGTTGTTGTTTCTCCACGACGAGCCATACTTGAAAAAACGGGACGTCGTTTCGACATACCTTTTCGCGCCTGGCGCAGGGGGCAACCAGTCCGAAGGTGACGGAAATTTAAACACCATCAGGTGTTTAAACGCTGCCATGCAGCTCGGAGCTCTCCCTTCTCTTTCTAAGCATAGCGTAACTTCATTGGCTCAGTTCAGCTCGACGAGCTGCAAGAGTGTGCATTCCAATCAAGTCGTGCCGATTTAAAGTTGAATCTGTCATTTAATGCCACATCCCCCGCTTCTTTGACGACAGATGCACTCGGAAGACTTCCATCCCGGCCACGCCGGTGCCGAGACCCTCCACAAAGACTGTAAAAGACGGTCACTGTGACCGCCGCGGGGAGAGGATCGACTGCCATCCCGGCAATAAGAGTACGCAACCGTTGGACAAAGTCCACCAACTAATTCTTGCCCCGTCGGGCATTAAGGAAACGCGATCTCACGCGACATGCCTGATTAGGCGGCGAGAACACTCGCAGAAGCTGACGCTACAGCCTTATCCAGGAGGGAAACGCCGCCTTAACCAATGTGACGCACGTCAGTGCCCATTCTCGCGCTCGGCCCCCCAGCGGATTGCGATCCGCTACCTTCATACTGGTTCGTATAGAAAAACTGACCTTACATTCGTATAGAATGTAAGGTCAGTTTTTCACAAACCTCCCGGACTTAATGAACTTGAACATATTAATCTTGAACTGCATTTAGCTTTGGTCAATACATCGTCGAACTCGATCCGAATAGAAAAAATGGAACGAGACTAAATTGTAATAATGTAGATTTCATTAGATACTTTTTTTAACTGAAAATCAGCGTGACGCTTAGTCGCCATATGCCAAGCGAACATCCGTGAATTGGCTTTTCATTCGAAAGATGCGTTTGACTCGAGTGCTTCTCTTTCAGCATGCACCTGAACAGGGTCGTTTTTCTCGTTTGCAGCATACGTTAGGAAGCATTCAACTATCCTTAAATGAAACATGATCTGAGTAATAGAGCGGGACGAAAACTTTTGTTTGCTTACGAATAACTCAAGATGAGCAAATTTTAAAACTGCTGTCAACATTTGCAGTACTATGCTTTCGCTAAGACCGTAGGTAACTTTTTTAATTGCTTCGGCGTGATTTTTATTTTACAGTAACTACTCCAATTGACCGTGTCTTTCATCAGCATAAAAAACGATTATCATTCACATTGTTGATATGCGTTGCCAACGTCCGCCGAGGTGGACCCTTATCATAATGACGCTGCGATAGTGTTCTGAGCAACAGGTTACTCCATCAGTCGAAGATAAGAGCAAATGATAAAGCACTCGGTTGTAATTCTTTCGAACGCTTTCATAGCAAATCATCCGACTTAACGCATACACTTTTAACCAGTGTGCTTGGCGCAAGAGTTATTCATGGCAATGCAGGAAAACTAAATTCAGCTATCATAGCTACCTAAATCATTATGTCTTTTTGGTTGATACCAGCAAGATTGTGTCCCAATCTTCTAGTAAATCTACATCTTAAAGTATGGGGTCTAGGATCGAAGCAAAGTAATTTCTACATTCCGATCCAGAGATTGTTGACAATCCTCTTTAGTTATATAGCATCAGGGGCTGACACTGCATGGTGAACATCATAAAGAAAGTAAACGTTCCTTTTTGCTCGCACAGCGACTAAATACATTGTATGTCGTCAAAAAGGAGAACACAACGAGCGTGAAATGCGGGTACTAAACAAATTGCGGCGTACACTATCGCGAAAGCATTATTCTGTCAAATTACGCGTCTTTTTGTTACGCTGCATATATCTGTAATTTAAATTTACTCAGCTTTGTAAAGAAGTTTGTGCAGCTCCTAAATTTTCTCCAACTTAAACTAAAGTGGCACTTTAGACGCACGTGATGAAAATCTCAATGGCATTTTTGTTGTTCTTGGGCCGCTCATTCCTTGCATTGCCCTACGTACGTCCCCCAACCTTTTTTTAATGTTCTTCTGGAGGACTCTGCTGAAAAGCAGAGTATCCCGCTAATCTTTTTGGCATCACTTCATTCATGTCGAAATTCATCGTGTCCTTCATACTCGCTTTCATCACTTCGTCGATGTACAAGTAATGACGAATTGTGCCAACCACACTGCTCTCTTTTCTTTTTAATCAACAACCCATTCACACTGCGCCGTCATCGCGCTGTAATTGACCATTGCTGCCTCATTGGCACTTACGTCGGTACAGAAGCCATGTGGTCGTGCAGGATGCACCACGTGGAGAGGTGAATACACCACCTTGCTGTCCATCCAACATTGTCAAACACCATTTGCTTTGCGTGTGTGCATGGAGCAATCCTGTCCATCGCGCTGTACTTCCAGCACTCGGTGAGATCAAAACCCATGATAATAGCTATCACAAATCTGCTTTTGATCTTTGGACCCACTACGAGCCACTTCAGTATTCATTTTGTCAATCGGTCATCGATATCTAACAACTATGATAAAATAAAGTTCATCTCAGAAAAAAACAACACACAACAATATCGTAGCAGAAGACCAAATTGCTTTATTGCGTCCTTGAGTACAAGTCATAAGTAATTAGGCGATTTTCTGTCGTTTTTTTGATGCTTCCAAGATTTCGTCCTGTCTTTCATTTATGATCTTGAGATAATTCGCATACTTATATTTGAAAAAACGCTTTTGATCTTTATCCTTGTCGTAATTCGGATACCAAAACCCCGTGCCGGGTCCGACGAATCCATTTCCACCCATTTTTCTTCCACGTCTCCCCTTGCGTTCCTCGTTATCGGCAGCTGATTCATCTAATTCTTCTTTGAGGATCCCGAAATTGTTTGCATTCCCACTCAATCTTGGCTTACTTGATCCGACCTCATTACCAAGTGCGATGGTGATGCAGTCGGAGATCGCGACCGTGATTGCTGCAACGATCGGTGCTAAGTACGTCAAACGCATGGAGTGTTATGATGCCTAATATGCGCTGAACTGTAGATTGGTGAATGATGAAACCTAGCGTTCTGTTTTGGCAGTATGATACAGCCGAAAATGTGCAAGGGGTTCTGTAGTGTGATGGGTTAGAGAGAGACAGTTCAATAACAACGTTACAAGGTAGTATTACAAATAATGTACACTTGGCTAAGCCTGACCTCACGCCTTTACCAAATCACTTGGCTTGGCTAATGCGAGTAGACCATTCGATATTTTTAGAAAGTATTATAGTGATTGACACACCGTGCAGTTAATAAAGCTTCTTGGTATCGAAATGATGGAAAGGAGGACTAACAAGCACACAGCAAACTTATCATTTACGATCACTTGTCAAAGCAGAGTTCAGTTAAGCAACAACGAACAAAAATATACGCCAGGTGTTAGCACAAGATGGTGACGTGGTGACTTATCCATCGGAAAAATAGATTTTTACAATGTCGAGAAATACTCTACGATGCTGCAATTGCCACAGACTCTAAGTAAACATGAGCTCTTTACATCCTTGACACAAAATAATATAGAAAATACGTTTAATCATTGCAAAGAACTCACTACCATGTGTCGCTCAAACCCATTTCTTAGCTATTTTTATCCATTTCACATTTTTGTGATGAGCGATTAGAGATTATCTCTGATTTGGCCTTCAGAAATTCAAAAACGTTTCGCTTTCTCTTAATAATTATACCACTATTTCGCGCAAGATATCTATTGTGTACTAAGTAAAAGCTTCATTATGAGCTTCTTGCAGTTTATGTCGTCGCAAAGTGCATTAATTCTTATGAAAACCAACAAGACATCCATCGTTAACGATAGAAGTGGCGTCAGAATATCCAGCGCACGCTGAAGACGAAAATCGTGATGAGCCTTCAGTGAGACTAATGGTAATGTAGGCTGTCAGTACAAATCCCGGTTTCCTACTTCGTCAACTGCAGTTCGAAACGACGCCTACACAATATTGCGAAGTGATACCAGACCATCTGTGCTGCTGTCTAATGGGGCAACAAATGATCTGGGTTTAATTTTTTAAAGTCTAGCTAGGGTGACGACTACAGCGTCGGTCATCTCTAATTCAACGCGAAGGACACCGAGCTTTCTCAGTGTCTTGTTCCGACCAGTTGTGATCACACGTCACCACTATTGTCGCGACAAAAACCATATGTCAAAACCCTCGCAACACCCATTCCAACGCTCGGCTTGACTACTTCCACGATCACAAAAGCAGCTTTGCACAACTTTTAAAAAGTTAACTTGGCGCGATGTCTGCTTGTTAAGGCACTTGCACGATGAGTTTCACGTTTGAGCTAATGATTCCCGCAGACCTAAGGCCAGACCCTTCGCACCAAAGATGACGAGGTCAGATGGAGCAATTTCTGTGAGGTGGCTGTTTTTGTACTTGCCCCTTCACCGCATCTTGAAGCCGAACCACCTTGCATCGTCAGTACAATCTACGCAGTAGTCTGAGGTCATCGCATTGCCTTCTCCATTGACCGATTGGAGCCAAGCTTCGCGCATAATCTAAAATCGTGGTGCCACAATTGAGGATGAACTTACCAGATTACCTACTACATGTGCCGTCTATATCACATTACTTGCTTCATGAGTTGGGCATAAAACGATCAAGTAATTATTGTGATGTGACGGTAATATATGCAGTAATTTCATTCGTACAACAACTGCATTATTAGCTACTCCATGAGTTTTGCGCACAATTCTAAGTTGTAAAGGAGAGATGTGCAAAATGAAGAGATCTGGACTGTCTTTTCCATACGAGCTATAAGTGACTTTGGGACTACTGGATCTCTTAGAGCTTATTGACATGTGCAGCTTGATCAGCTCGTTTGGTTCTAAGGTTCGTATAATGTGATTTATGTATTGCATATACATGTCAAATATGATTTGCTTCATCCTTGAAGTTTTCGACTAAGTCTATTAAAAGAAAGTATAATGGACATGTTGTCAATTTATTATTTACAACAATGTGGGGTTTCTAGATGGTATGACAGCTGAAAAATAAACCACGTCAGTCATTTGAGGTCTTGTCTAGCAACAATGAAGTCATAGATTTATACTTGCCAGTCAAAGTTTCATCCACACTCTTATTTTACAGAATTATTCTTACATTATCGCTTTTCAGCCAAAAAAGCATGCTCAGCTAACTCTATTGCGGTTGCTCTCCCTATACATGACAGTAAATGATGTCAGCGAGGTAAAAAATAAGCGACTCAGATTTCACTACCTTCCGGGTCGATGCAAAAACATCGTCCTAAAAACGACTTTGCTTCAGGCGACAGATGATCGGGTAATGGTGGTGGCGCCGAAGCCATAGCGATAGTATACATGGCTGCTAGTCCATTGTGACAGTGTGGCCATGGATGCTTGGCAGTTGCCATCTCAATAACCGTAGCACCAATGCTCCAAATATCTGCTTTGTATCCATGACCAGTTTGTTTGACAATTTCCGGGGCCATCCATGGAATTGATCCTCGGATTGATCGCAAAGATTCTTCTAAACTCGTGGTAAGTATCTGTGGGATCTGCTTTGAGCAGCCAAAATCCGCGAGTTTTGACACGCCTTGTTCATTCACCAAAACATTCGCACCTGGTTTTGAACGAAAGGGTAGACTTGAGATATAATTTATGCCAACTACTTTCAGACAATCGTGCAGACCTTTGATATCTCGATGAATGACACCCATTTTATGCAAATAGGCAACGCCTTGCACAATTTGACGGGTAAATAATCGAATCAAATCTTCACTGAAGGCGTCAAATTGCTTTAGCATACTATGCAACTCAAACTCGATACTTATGAAATGGTTCGAAATATTCAAAAACTTGTGGTATGCACCTGGCGATTGAGCCCCCGGGGACATACTCCATAAAGATGTAAAAGTAATTTTTAGTTTGATGACTTCCCTTGTAGCTATACAAACAAGTACGACGACCCAAAGAAACACTGTTAGGTGGCCGCGATTGAAGCCAGGAAATTAGTCACACAGACCGAACGATGTGCTTATGATTAAGATTATTCATGAGCGAAATCTCCTCACCAAGCTTTTGCATCTGCGTGACTTGGTCGATATTTGGGCTACAACGAATTTCAATTTCTTTAAGTGCGAAGAGTTCGCCCGTAACGATGTTCAGACCTTTGTAAACCTGTCACAATGTGTAAAGTAGATTTATTTTGCAACTTGAGTCATTGTTCATGTGCCAATATAAGCAACCACCTCTAATGACGAACCTTTCCAAACGTTCCTTCACCAATAAGCTCACCACGTTTCCATTGTATGATGGGATTACTAACTTGGACTGTCGGATTTATTTCAGAGCTTGTGATTATTTCTTGATTGGTTGTCGATGATGAGGCGTCACGTCGAAAAAGATTTTCTGGTAATGATGAGAAACTGGAGCGTCCGATGCGTGGTGATGTCGACCGCGTAAGTGACATTGATTTTGGTATGTCAAGCACCGATAGCGCTGCAAGATGCGGATGACTCAAATGCAATTGTGACACCATCTCACTAGGCATGAGGATAGAAGGATTTTCGTCTGCCTTTAAACTCTCGATTCGATTAGATGACGAAGTACTATCCAAACATTTGACATTCACATTGGGATCTTCCAAAGAAGATTGTGAGAAAATTATTGCGTCGGGCAAACTTTTATTTTTGACTGCTTTATTCCACAAGCCGAAACTTGAGACTGCCTTGTCCTCAACCTGAATTACTTCTTCTTGTACTGCAAAATCAAGATGACTGAAACGATCGGATTTGCTTTGTGAAAGGTCTTCACACGAATCCCAACAAACCTCATCGCTTTCGTCACTGCTATCGTCTCGCTGGTCTTGGTGGTCAGCACATCGCTCAGGTTGTTCATTAATTTCTATCGACGCGTCCGATGCTGTCGACGATCGTGATTTCTCGAGGTCTTTTAACACATGAGCAGCGATGGAAAAGCTACTGCTTCGTTCAAAGATATTTTCATTGTTACTGATCGCTCTGCTCTGGTTACAATTAGCACTACAAGGACGTTCTCTGCTTCCAGGTCTCCTAGCAGATGGTGCTCGCGGTGTCAATGCATTCGGTGCTGATAGTAGAGCTCCATCAGCCAACGAGATGTGTTTAAGCCGCAAATTTCGTCCGCTTGAGCTACGGTGTAGCTCAACTGCTGAGGCTTGGCGCAATGCGTCCAATGTACGATGGCTATGTGGCACTGTGGTGTCTTTTGGCGAAGACTCCTCGTCCAAGACCAAGAATGACGCCTCCGACATGCCAACCTTTCGCATCCTCTAATATTGTTGGATTTCTTCGTGGCTGATATCGTTCCGTGGGGTCGGCTGAAGCACTTGGGCAAACCGATAGGCGTTTGAAACGACGCGCCTGTCCACAAGGTCACTTGAAGCTTATCGCGTTATCCGAATAATCATTTTATTTGGAATCCGATCATTCTAAGACGTATTGACGTCAAAATTGCAGACTTGCCTTGCTCAGTCGAATCAAAACTTTTTTCCTGACTTTATCCTGTATCTTAGAGGTGCTTTATTTGACATTACACGCGGCATGTTAGCAGCAAAGATGCTCGGAATATGCTGCATTTTTTGAGGCGTAGACTGCAATCGAAAGCGTTTAGCGTAGTGATGACTTTCATACAATCACAAAACAAGCTGTCATAACCTTCATTCCAACGAAATGATTTCATCACAGTTCTCAACTTCAAGAATAATTGTTTATGCTTCATAGTATTCAACATCTATATTTTTCTTGGGCAAGTTTTCATAAGTTTCTGCTATATTTTGGACAGTCGGCATGGTGTAGGCGATTATATTTTGTTGTTTGTATCTCAACAATAATATACAAATGTGTTTGAAGCTTAAAAGGACAGAAAGTGATTCAGTATGGTGACACATTGGTATTGGAAGTGTGAGCGGTGTTAAGACCATCCATGTAATGATGTACGTATCCTGTCATGGTTTACATGCACATTACACCGTTGCCCCTCGAATATTGCAACGGGGGTCAAACGAAACTAATATGAAATAAATCTTTTTACTATGTCTTAACCTACATGTACTGCATATCGTGAGGCTTACAGCCCGTAAACCCACGGACCTCTTTTTAAAGAGTCCTCCAGTGCCACATCTGAGTTATGCACAAACGTTTATTTCCGATGGTTTACTAACACCTTACATTTTTCTGTAATCGTACTAATACAATATGGTATGATTGTACGATTTTGAGTAATCAAAAATATTTAGAATTACTGAAGTACCAGTATGATAGGACTCAGCCAAACTAATAAAGATAGTTATTTTATTAGAAATAGTAAGCATATCTATCTCATAATAATCTGAATAAAAATATTCTTGAATGCATGTCAATCAGAGCAAATTTAAGGCTTAGTTACTTCAGAGGGTCTCGGTCCCGCTCGTGGATGAAGCGTACGAAATATCGACAACTATGCGCAGGATTCGTGGACTTTTTAAGCTAAGCTATCTGTGTGCAAGGTGCACGGAAGCCATTCTATGACGATCGAATCGTAAAAGAGCTGCATCTTCGGTAAGGATGAACAACATTACCTACCCTCGGGACAAATAGACATGCTTGGAGAGCTTGTATATAAGGACTGGTGACTTGAAGGCCCAATGCAGTAACCGCTTGTCTGAATGCGCTCACGTCTGTGATGATCCGGAATTTTCTATAGGCTGGCTTTTCTCCAAGCAGATACCGACGGATATGATTGCGTTTGGCGAACCATATACACCAAGTAACTGCTTCATAGCTTCATGTGCTGTGGGACTCGAACCCTCACGGAACAGGTTGGAGCCACCACCACAAACCACTGAGCTAGATTTCATGTCAAAATTGGAGGTGTAAAGTCCAAAACGTTAAAGCGAATTCTGAGTGGAAACTCTTAAAACTCACTCAGAAGTCTTGTACAACAATAAGTAAGCTGCCTTGTACCAAACATCTTCCGTGGGAAATTTTACTCACTCGTTTCTGCGAATCTTCACTCACTTTTTCTGCGAATCTTCACTCAGTCTATTGCACATAAGTGGTCAAATGGGACACACTGAGGCAAACGCTGGCTAGCTTGAGGTGCGGGGAAAAAGAAAGTGGTGGCTTCATTAAAAATTTCTTGGGCATCTGCAGAGTGAATAACGTGATGGAAGTCGGGCAGAGCGTGCCAAATGTCTTTACGATGACTTGGGAAGCTTAAATATGTTCTCGCCGCCATCCGTGTTTTTGCCGCAGCTAATCATGTTGTCACGGTGGCTAAGCGGGTGCATCTTCGATAAAGTGTTGTGGTAGTGCCTGCTGCGACGGTTGTGCTGGTCTGGTGCGGATGCGTCGCTTTGCCTCCACCAGACACCATTACTTATCTCTAACTGTCTTTACTCGGACTATCAGCCTAGCTCTGCTCAGGGCTCAGGGCTCAGGGCTCAGGGCTCAGGGCTCAGGGCTCAGGGCTTAGGGTTCAGGGTTCAGGGT